CGCGCGTCCGCTCTCACGACTAGCAGGCGCTGGCTGTGTTCCAAATCTCACCCAAATGGATCCGAGTTACTCCGGCGGGTCGTGTCACGTGACAACACAGATTGAAAAACGCTGGATGGGGCTAGGTTTAGAACGCCAAGGTATGAAACCTTTACCCTGGAGTAAGATGGGGTAAATTTCGGAAGACGGACGCTGTCCAACGCCGTGTCACGGCAGTCACTTACACGTTTGCAAGTCCGGTCTCAGAGCGCCGCCATCTTGCTCAGGCGGGGTGCGCTTGGGCACGGCCTAAATCCGATTACGACGCCTTAGCCAGGGATTTCCCTAGACACCCCCTAATTTTCCTGGACACCCCCCCTTAAATCTAAAAAAAAAAAGGAAAAAATAAAATAAAATTATTTTTTTCAGATTAAGTAGAAAACACAACCTCTCAGGTGTATATTAGAGAAAGGGAAACATACGTTACGGGTATGAGCATTTGGTTAATAGGCGTCTGTAATTTAGCTAGTGGACTAAAAAAGAAACAGTTTTATATTTTATCTAGCATCGCCTCCCCCCCCCCCCCCCCCCCCCCTTGATTAGAATCCTGGGGAAACCCCTGGCCTTAGCAAAGCCTCGTAATCGGACTCTCACGCGTCCAAGCGCACCCCAACCGAGCAAACTGGCGGCGCCCTGAAGCCGGACTTGCAAACGTGTATTGGCGACTCCAGCGAAATCGACGCCGCGTAGCGGCAACGCCGAGAAGTTCAGAGAGTAGGTTGTTTCGACTCTGTCGTCTGCCATCGCCGCTTGGTTCTCGTAGGCAGCATAGAAACAAACACCGTTTCCAGGAATTATTTGAGTGTCAGTCATACGCACTGCCTAGAAGAAAGTTGCAAATGTCGAAAAATCGCTTTGTTTTCATATGTAATTTAGATTTCACGCTGCAGGGCAAAAAATTTATAGTGGTCCGCGTGCTGAACGACGAAAACGACCTCCTTTCGTCCGCCATTTTGTCTGACCAGCATGCCCCATGTAGTTCGCTGGAGTCGCAAATAGGCTTCAACGAGGTAGAGGGGCTTAGAGTGATAAACCGGAAGTTCGGAAGCGGCACACACTCCCCCCCCCCCCCCCCCCCCCCCCCCCCCAGAGCCGTATATGTAGAGAGTTTGGTCATTGGTTGGGAAGTATAGGAGACAAATCAGGAGGCGCCATTGGCCGAAAGCGGACTGGGCATGTTCCAGGGCGTCTTCAGAAATTCGAATGTGACCAACCAGAAGCCGGAAATAATACTCTGGCGGTAGTCGCGAGAAGCAAACCTGCTAAGTGGATCGGAGCAACTCTCGGTGACTGAAAATATGGTCACGCTCGCGGCTAGCGGAACGATCGATATAATTCTTACGCCAAGCGCCGAGGGCCGGGTATCTGCCGCCCGAGCGGTCACACTCTGTTCGAGCAAAACAGAGTTGAGCGGCGCATTTGTTTCTTACGCCTTTCTGCATGATCATGATCAAAACATCACATACACCCTATTTTCAACCACAAAGAGTTGCTACACCTCACTCTTACGCGCTTATTAAAACCATATATGAACATAGGCCTTTGATCAGAACTGTTTCTCGCTACCACCGCTAGGGGATTCTTTTCGGCTTCTGGTTGGTCAAGAGAGCATGCCAAGCCCTCTTTCCGAGTCTGGTGCACGCCCTGTCTGTGCCCGCGCCTCCCATTAACCAAACGCTCTCTATACACGGCTCTGCCCCCCCCCCCCCTCCCTCGCCGCCATGTTGTACGCAAAAGTGACCACTCGTCACGTGACCTCACAAGAGCCGTGACGTCATCGGTAGGATGGCAGCGCCCAGAGCTGGCGGATGCGAGTTTGTTCGGTGCGCGGTTGCCGTGATGTGCAGCTGCTTTCTGACCACTTCGGACGTCCTCGTGCTCGCTGACGCAGGTATAATGTGAAAGTATGAAGGAATGAGACTTTATATCCTTTTTGCGCAAAACCGCTCTGGATCATCTGGCTTGTGAGACAGCATCAGCCGAATCACCGTACCGGTGCTCGGATTCCCGGATGCGTTCGAGGGCCGATAGACCTTTGAGTGGTTTTAGCATAAAATTCTCGCATTTTCTTAGCTTTGTTTCAACGTTGGAATGTCTGAGAATCGACGCGAAATGTATGTGTCGGACGTAGGTCCTAGGGGAATTGGTTTCAGCCCTGCGTCACCGAATAACCACAACAACTTTTAGCGAGAAAGCTCCTGCGATCTTTAGCCTTTTGTGCTAATAGACGATTCTACATTCGATCCCAATACTTTCTTTAAGTGAAAAGCTGGCGTTTGTCACGAACTCTTACAAAGCATTCGAACCAATCATTCGAAACAAATTTCATTACTTACGTTTATAAAACAGTTTATTTGTCCTCTTGTAACTCAGAACACAGCAAGTATTTACATTCTTGATTGATCAGTGCACAAAATGTTGCATCCCATGTCCCTTAGAAATTAGTATTAGAAGGCTCTTTACCTTGCCGATCGGTATCAATAGTTTACGGTAACCTCTATGTGTATGATCATACTCCTCTTAGATGGTTGTCTAATCCATCATTCTAACATCTAGAACTTTAAAAAAAATGCAACTTCAGTCTTTAGAGGTCCAGAGATAGAACCACGTATATCAGCAATTCGTTAAAGGGGCGGTGCAACGATATTCAATTGGAATGTTTTTCACTTTACACGAGCTTACTGGCGCTAGTGGGACTCAAGGATACTCTCACGCAACGCCACTGACCAAGAAACTCCTTTGTTGCGCTGTAATTTCGAGGACAAAACCGAGATTGTTCATTCAATCTCTCCTTCGCAAAACCTGATGACGTAGCTGGGCGGTAGCAGTACCGCCCAGTGACGATATTCGAATGCGGCTCATAGATTGGACCCGAGCATGGCGTGGACACTCGATTTGGGCTCGGGATAATCGATAGCTCGAGAAGCATTCAGGTAGTGTCTTGTGTCCAATCGCTGCAATGACGGCAACAACCGAACCATAACAATGTCTGGAACTCAGCTCGCGTCCTGTGCTTTGCCAACCCCAGCGCGTGGCTATGATCAACATTGGCGGCATATAATCGGCTCCAGATCACGTGGCTGCTTGTTCTGGCTACGAGTTGAGTGGGTGAACTCTGCTCGTTTTTCTTTATTTTTTTCTGCGACTTCGATTGCGTGTGCTGAAAAACGAGCGGGTATTTCACTGGTCATTAACGTCAGGGATCCCTTCTAAGCGGTATTTGCGCGAAATACAAAAATCGTTGCATCGCCCCTTTAAATGTAATGCAACTCGGAAATAGAAGATTAACTGCACATTTTTCTCTTTCGTGGGATTTATTGCAGCAATACTTTTTTTCATCAAGAGTGCATTGTATTAGCCAGTCAATTATTTACTTGTTCTAATTACCTGGACAAGATGATTCGTATTTATGTTCATCCCTTGCCCGAAAAGCAGTCTTGTTGAAAAATGTTGACTACCATTCCTTTCAGTCTCTTCAGTGGACATTTTGAAAAGTGTTGGCTGCCTTATATATATTTCGTTTCATTGTGACTTGGAAAAGGGCAACTGCCACAGCCCCCTCGAGTCAGTCGCAGAGACGGAGTGAAAGTGTGTGACAAATCTGTGCAGATGAGCACTCTGATGATATGTTGTCGTGTGCCTCTCTCCAACGTGCATATTGACTCACCGAGACTGCAGCCTTCGCCGTTTGCCAAATTGTGATGAAACGAATTACAGTAGCTACTACTCTCATTACCCAAGGCCTTCATGCTGTGGCCATTTGTTCGACAAGAATGTTATGTCGGCCATCACTGTGAACTCGGCTCGGCGTCTATTGGACTCGAATGCTGCATTAACGTTCGACGTGAACTAAGGCACATTCGTTGTGCTTTACGTCGAAAAAAGAATGGTGACAGTTGTGTGGCTTGATGGGGTTTCGCAAAGGGTCTATTGTGTCATACGTATAGGAAGTGTCCTGTTATATAACAGTGCATCAACACATACTATTAAACTAGATGCTCAGAGGTGTGTTTATTTTTGCAATTAACAAGTTACAGCCATAATTATTTCTTACGAGTTTAGTACTTACTTTTGGTAGCTGGGCCCGTTTGGTGCTCAATAATGTCAGTGTGCTTTGATGTTATTATCATGTGTGTAGTTTACAATATCCTCTCTGCAAGGCCTACAAAGGCCCATCGAGGGAATAAATTAATAAATAACATGTTCACATCAATGGAGTTTGTTTTCGGATGAACCACACGTTCAGGAGAGGTGGAGCGAGTGCAGCCCAATGCAACAAGTCTGCCACTCTGGTATGTGACATTAATTACTATTGATGGGTCAGAGATGCGAGTGTCCTCAAAAGGTCCAGCGCGTGCAGTGAACACAACTTTTGGTGTATAGACTCTGTCTGAAGGCGTAAGGGCAAGCGGAAATATGTTTATTCGGTTAGTGCATCAAATGTATTTATTTCCACTTGATTACATAATTATTGATTCTTAGCAAATGGTTTCATAACGAGTTCTTTCTGCGACAGTCTAGTGTCAGATGTCATCGCGCCATGCAGCAGAGGCTGGTTGCACTATCTCTCCACGGGGCGCGGTACCACCGGGGCTGAGATGCGCTCCAATAGCAAATCAAAACTTAAAAACTCGTCGATTTTGTGCGGCTTTTCAGAAAGCCGTAAAATGCTTCGCGGGCCTTTTCTTGTTCTGCAATTTGTTGATTTGGTGTTTTTCGATGATGCTGAGCAATTTTCTAATTTAAATCATGCCCTTAAACACAATATTGAAAAAGTTAATTACGCAAAAATAATTAACAACTTAATTATACATGACTTTAATAATTTTCCTATATGGGCTCCTGGCCCTGGACCAAAACGCTACAAGCCTTTTTTCGTTGCAATGAGTAGTTTTTGCAGGAGCGATTTGCCTGCGCTCTCTGAAACACCCTGGATATATATATATATACACGAAAACGGCCTATGGTCTCAACGTACCTGGCTGTCCTTCCCCTTTCTTCGCTTCGCGGTTCGGAGAAAAGGTGCAACTCTTTTTCAGCTGGGTAGCGGCGAAGAGGGCGCTGAGCAGCATGCAAGTAGCAGCAGCGATCCCGACGTAGCGAAACATGAGGCGCCCTCCGAATTTGCCGAAGCCCAGGCCACCGACGAGATTCCCCAATAAAACACCTGAAATAAAACAATGGCCATATCGTGTTTGAACCTAGATTCCGGCGTCTTCATACAAGGATAACCCAAATTAATACTCCCCTAAAAAATGCCGGTACTTTTTTTTTATTTTTTTTTTATCTACGAGTATAAACGTTTTCACCTTAACTTCAAAGTTACTTCTGTCACAAACGTATACGCCAAGAAAGAGGCGATGAGAGCGTGCGGGGGGCGTCAGAATGCCGAGCTCTGGTTGGACTGATTAGGGGGTAGGCCTAAAGCTAGCTGCCTTTTTCTCCACTGCTCTCCTCGAACGCGTGCGTACGCGAAAGCAAAACGCGGAACTGCGGCCTTCCGCGTTCCAACGTGTTCGACGAGTGCAGTGGAGACAAAGGCAGCTTTATGTCTAATCATATATCAACTAATCATATCAACCAGAGCTCGGCGTTCTGTCGTCCCCGCGCGCTTTTATCTCCTCCTCTCCCTCTTATTCTCGGCGCCTAAGATTGCGTTTCAAAATATTCCCTTTTATATCCTATTTCACTTTATCATGTACCGCAGGAAAGGCTACAAGCGCGAGCTCCTTGCTCCAGGGCACATCCCGGCGGCACAAGCTCCCGTGCATAAAGGGCAGCTGCCAACGCTATAAGAGCTCGCGCTTTTAGCCTTCGCTGCGGTACAACATAAGGTGAAACAAAGTATAGTACGCCCCGCACTCGATTTGAATGTTTTGTCATCCAGTAGATCACGGAAAATGTCACGGGGCATGTTTTGTTTTTTTTGTTTTTCAAATTACAGTGAGTTTTGAGAAAAGAAAACCGTGTTTTTCGGTCCGGGTAATGAGCAATGCATCACAGAAAGTTCGAACTCCGTGAGAATGTAACGCTATAGGCATTGGGATAGAGCGCGACGTTTAGGAGAACATGACGTTACCTGTATCAAAAAATAATCGAGAAACACGAAATGTCTTTGCCTATGAGCCGATGTCCACCTGCTAAGCCTAATATCGCCAAAACAAGAAATGACATATTGGACGCTTGTGGGATTTATATCAATGAAAAACACTTGTCAACATGAAAAGAAATGTTGTTTTTGTTCCTTGCTGACAAGTCGTTTTCGTTGAAATAGGTGCTACAGGCATCCACGTTGTCATCTCTTGTTTTTACGACAATAGGCTAGGTGGACATTTCCTCATAAATAAATTTAGTTTTTCTCAGTTACTTTTTTTCTCCAGGCAGCGTCATGTTCTCAAAATTTCTCGTTTTATTCCGACCGTAGCGTCACATTCGCACGTAGGTTGAGCTTTTTGCAATGCGTAGCCGAATTATCCGGGCCGTAAAACACGGCTCTCTTTTCTCTGAAACTTTCTGTAGATTTGCTACAGCATGTAAACCAACGCTTCTAACGCACTGTAGACAGTCCGAAAAAAAAAAAAAAACGGTTTCTCGCCGTATAGGGTTGCGATTTACTACAGAGGTGCGACTAGGTGGTGGAAGCATGGAGTGAAAATATCAACGAATGAGCTTACCTTGTTAAAAAAAGAAACAAGATAAAACCTGTATTATGCTATCTGCCACGGCATTTGCAGACGACGTCATGGTCGTGCTCGTCTAGTTGTATGTGCGGCCGAAAGATGGCGTGACGTCAGTCGCAAGATTAATGCCGTAATGCAGCGCCTCGACCGATCATCTTCGTACGAAATATAGGGAGCCATGTGCTATTTAAATCACTGTTTATTATTTGGTTATTTTGTTTTTCAAATAATAAATTATCGCACAATTAGAATTTAACGTTAGAGAGGCGTACGCCGGCATAGTGAAATGTTTCCGAAGATCGACTCCTAGGCTCGGCGCCGGCGCGCCAGAGCCGTATATGTAGACAGTTTGGTCATTAATTCGTAAGAACAGGGCGAAATTAAGGGAGCGTCAATGGCTGATATTCTTGGGGACGATGATTGACAGCTCTTGTGACCAACCACTAGCCACAAATATCCCCTTAGGGGAGGCTATGAGCTTAACAAATACCCTCCACTCCCAATTTCTAGGTAAGGATGTTTTCAAATATTTCATTTCAGCACGCTAGAGTTGAAATTTGTTACTCTTTGTAACTGAAGGGGTAACTCACGTGACGTTTAAGTCACAGCGACATTCAAAATGCACTCTATCTCACTTTTGATTGCAGAAATAAAAGTTTATTTACATATTTACAAGTTGAGTGGCGCGGAGGCCACACAGACGCTACATTGTATTTACCTAAACACGGATGTGGGGCGCTGTATAACCCTGCTTCTACTCACTGTGAAAAACCGGGAACGCCATCGTCGCAGTAACTCCTGCTCTCCAAGCGTTCACATTTCATTCTCCAAGTGGTCCGCTATCTTCTCGCGCAAAAGAGAAGCATGTGGAACATGAGCCTAAAACGGCGGAGCTGAATCTCGGCCCTACATCTACACTTTCACAATACTTCGTGTGCTACTATCAGTTACTCAAAGCGATTGCGTGCAACTCGCACCTCATGTTCGCAGTCTCGCATTATGTTTCAGAAAAAGTTTCTCGTCAATGTTACCTTTCCTGGCTCAGTAAACGCACTCAGAGCCTTCAAACTCCCTGTTTCCACCAATTTTTTACAATTACCCTTTCATGTACTTTCGGCCGCATCCAGAAACAAAGAATACTTGCACCGCGGTGCGCAGTTCCTTCAAGGTCATCTCGGCTTCATTTTACTTCGAAGGATCATCACGGGGGAAATATCCGGCGCTGGCGGCGGCGACGCTTACGCCGCTCCACCCGGGATACCGCCTGTTCCTCCCATTGACCCAAACGATGCAGAAAAAGAAAAACACTCGAACCAGAGCGCTGCGCCAACGCTCCGCTTACCCTCCCCTGGAAAGCTCGTCTGCTTCACGTTGTGAACTGTTACCAGAGGGTGGAGAAAGCATATGCGCAGTGTACGCGTACAAGTTGTTTCAAAAATGTTAGGCGCCGCTTCGATATTATAGCAAGTTTTTGCGCGTGACATGGCCTATGCAAGAAAAGAATCGACCGGGCAGCACTGTGCTGTAATTGGTTGTACAAATAACCAAAAAACAAAAAGTAAAATAGACGCTGATTCAGTGTGCGATTACCACATCCATCCTGCTGTCAAGCAGGATGAATGTGGGTGCGGCATGTTTATGCTGCACCGGTTCCCCGCTGCTCCGGACCTACAACGCCAGTGGCTGGCGAATTTAAACAGGAAAGACTTCTTGCCATCGAAGAGCACTCGTGTGTGCTCCGACCATTTCTTGGACGGCCGGTGAACTGCGGAGAATCCCGTGCGTTCCTTCGCCTGGGCTACGACCGAAAGGTAAGTGGAGGGCGGCTTAGACATTGAAAAAAGAAAACAGTTGCGTGACTACTGGTTCACTCATTTAATGACTTTACTTTTCTTCAGGTGGTAATTGGCAGGCGACGACTGGTGCAGAACGAAAATGAGCCGCCGAAATTGAAGCGTCAGGTATGCGTAACTCAATCGTTTTAAGGAGTCTCTGAAATTGTCAATTTACCATGAATACGTTAGTTCGAATGGCCGAACGCTTCAATTACCTGCAGACATTGGAAAGCAACAGCAACACCCGCGACGTCCACGCAGCATCGACATCTTTTGGCAGCAAGCGTTCTGACTCCACTGTGAACAGCAAGACTGGGCACAGAGCTCAGACTTTGTGGTAGGCTCTCCATCACGAATATATATATATATATATATATATAGACAAAGAAAATATAGCGTAGGACGCCGAAGACTATAAAGTAATAAAGTCGCACTTCGAAACGTTGTTGGAGTTTTAAAGCATTTAGTGAGTCGACGTTTCGGCCTGAGACAGGCCTTCTTCAAGACTGGTTGCCAGAGTCGGTTACATGGTTGTTTTCGCTTTCCCCACCCCGGCCACGTCACCTGTCAGATCACGTGTAAAAATGCCCAAGTAAAAGAGCCCAAGTGAAAAAACGCTGCTGTACTCCCCCCACTCCACGCACGGCCGCAGCAGACGCCGCCAGCCATCGGAGCAAACCAAAGGCCACGTCAGACTTCGTGACCCCAGGAACGTCACGTGCGGAAGGCGCAGTAACGTTCACATAGTTGGATCGGCCCAGATGGCCAGCAACGCACGCCGCGGAAAGACGCAAAGTCAAACAAAAAAACAAAAAAAAACAAAAACAAAAAAAAGGGGGGGGGGAGGAATGTAATAAGCGCACACAGTAAATAACGCCAAACGCATAGAACAAACCCCTACATAGAGAAATATAAGGTGAAATAAGCACACAGAGTAAATCAATGCCAACGCGCATAGACAAATCCCCTGCACTAAAAAAAAAACAAAAAAAAAAAAAAGTAAATATAACAGTGTTAACCAAAGTCCCAGAACATTCAACAAGGAGCAACAGGTGGAAGATGCCTGTTGAAGGTCATGACCCGTTGACTCATCGACAGGTTATACAGAAAGGTACACGAAAAAATTAAAGGGTTGAACGAATGGGATTGAATTAGCTACAGTCACTCCGCTACAAGGGGATCAAGGTAGATTGCATGCATAGATGACATTATACCTGGATCTTCATTAATACCGGCCCGGATTGAATTAAATTTGTAAATAAGATACGATTCTCTCTGCTCGCGATCACGGTTGCTTTTGAAATTGGATTGTAAAAATGTAACGTCCAGTTTGTCAAACGTGTGTTTGGGTAAAGCCATATGTTTTGAAAGGGGGAGTTTGGGAAATGAATTTACATGCGCCCTTCATCCGGGACTTTGCAAGGATTTCCGCACCACTTACGAATCTCACGAAAGACGCCGAGAAGTTCGAATGGGCCGAGAAGCAGCAGCAGGCATTCGACGAGCTGAAGCGACGACTGCAGACTCCTCCTGTTCTAGGACATTTCGATCAAGATGCGGAAACCGTAATTCACACGGACGCAAGTAAGGCTGGACTTGGCGCGGTACTGGTTCAAGTGCAAGACGGCACCGAGCGAGTTATCGCCTACGCA